GCGGCAGGGACGGAGCAGGCGGTGGGGTCAGGGATAGAGATGCGCGGGCCCGGCCTAACCGCGAGTGGACGCGGGCGCGGGCCAGCCGCGGATGCGAGCGGGAGCGAGGAAGCCGGGACGCCAGCTTGGCCACCACCGCCGCGCCAGGGCCGCGCGCGCACAGCCCGCGGAGGCCTTGTTTCTCCAACAGGTGCCCACGCACCGCCCTGCGAGAGACACAGCCAATCGGAGCCGGCGCCACCGCGCTCCACCCAATCAAAGGCCAATACGCCGGCGACCTATGCGTTTCTCCCGCCGGCTGGCACGAGCTGTCACTGGAAGCCAATCAGAGGCAGCAGCACTCTCTGTCAAGTTCTTCTTCCCGCCCCTCCCTCAGTTCCAGCCAATCACAGTATTCTGAGTCGCCGCAGGCTCCACCCCTCACCATCCCTGAGGCCAGGCTCTGCGTGTGCAGTGGGCGCCCCCAACTGGCCTGAGGGTCCATTTAGCCACGCAGCCCCCTCTACAGCCCCCCCGCCCTCCCTACGACAGCCAATGAGGAGAGTGTATGGATCTCTTTTTTGGGGGGGGCGGTTTGCCCTTAGGGATTCTGGAATGATGCTCCTGGTGTAGGTCAAGATCTACGCAAATTCCCAATGAATGATCTTACAGAAAAGATGAAACGATATCAATTCCAAAGCAAAGCTTGACGTGCAGCATTTGTGTTAACGTTAAGAACGGTTGTAAACAACACAGATGGGTGACAATCACGAAAAAATGAGAAATGGTCAATCTATTTAAAATTGGAATATAGAAATATTTATTAAAACGTATTAGAGGGCTTCTCTGGTAGCACAGTGGTTAAGAATCGGCCTGGCAATGCAGGAGACACGGGTTCGAGCGCTGGTGCTGGAAGATCCCACATGCCACGGAGCAAATAAGCCCCTGCACTACAGCTACTGAGCCTGCTCTCTAGAGCCCGCGAGCCACAACTACTGAGCCCGTGTGCCACAACTACTGAAGCCCATGCGTCTAGAGCCTGTGCTCCACAACAAGAGAAGCCACCACAATGAGAAGCCTGTGCACCAGAACAAAGAGTAGCCCCTGCTCGCCGCAACTAGAGAAAGCCCATTCACAGCAACAAAGACCCAATGCAGCCAAAAATAAATAAATTAATTAATTAAAAAAATGTATATATTAGAGGGCTTCCATGGTGGCACAGTGGTTAAGAATCCGCCTGTGCATATAGGGCACACGGGTTAGAGCCCTGGTCCAGGAAGATCCCACATGTCGTGGAGCAACTAAGCCCGGGCGCCACAACTACTGAGCCTGCTCTCTAGAGCATGCAAGCCACAACTACCCACAACTACGGAAGCTGGCGCGCCTAGAGCCCTTGCTCCGCAACAAGAGAAGCCACCGCAATGAGACGCCGTGCACCGCAACAAAGAGTAGCCCCCATTTGCCGCAACTAGAGAAAGCCCGGATGCAACAATGAATACCCAGTGCGGCCAAAAATAAAATTAATTAATTAAAAAAAAACAATATTAGAACATTTCTCAGTGGGTTAGAAAGGATATCATCCACTGCCCTCACTGAGACAGTCTGCTCTGTGGCCCCTGTGCCCAAATGCTCCTCTTAATCCTGTTCTCCAGTAAAGAGATGATGTGGGTTATTCCACACCTCAGGTCAGAGAAACACAAGATGATTTTTTTTTTAAAGAAATGACAAAAAAAAAATGGCATCCAGGATTTATTTATTTTTAATAAATTTATTTATTTAATTTATTTTTGGCTGTGTTGGGTCTTCATTGCTGTCCACGGGCCCTCTCCAGCTGCGGAGAGCAGGGGCCACTCTTTGTTGTGGTGCGTGGGCCTTCCACCGCTGTGACCTCTCTTGCTGTGGAACACAGGCTCCAGGTGCGCGGGCTTCAGCAGTTGCAGTATGTGGGCTCAGCAGTTGTGGCTCACGGGCTCCAGAGCACAGGCTCAACAGCTGTGGCGCACGAGCCTAGCCGCTCGCAGCATGTGGGATCTTCCAGAACCAGGGCTTGAACCTGTGTCCCCTGCATTGGCAGGCGGACTCTCAACCACTGCGCCACCAGGGAAGCCCAAGATTATATTTTTAAAGAATCAATACTTCTGTTAAAAAGCAAAAGTCTATAATGATTCTCAAATAGAGCAAATTAAATGAGGTAGGCTAAGAGAAATCAGTCTGGAATTCCAATAATGTTTACACAACCTCCTCAAGGTTGTTCAACCCAAAACCTTGTGCATACTGCAGTCAGATTTTGGTCTACACTTGTTATCCTAAATCAGGCCACAGAAAGACAAGCTGAGTTCCTCATAGGGTGCCAAATCCCATTAACTCTATTCAGCTGGAATTCTTCAGTTAAGACAAAACTTCACCAGATTGCAAAAGGTGTAGGCTTGGGAAGGCACAGCTCAGAAGAGAGGCTCAACGAGACTGGTTCCAGGACTAGCCAAGCCCTTGGTCAAAGTTCAGAATAGCAGATCAATCCCCAATTGTGCAACCACCATTCTGGACCCAGCCTTAGGAGAGTAATTTGCTTCCACATTTCTGGGTGATTAAACTTATAATCACGGGATGAGAAAACGAAGCAATCCAGTAGCACTGATTACTGACATTGCATTAGTAACTGGCTTTTTAAAATGTTTGAAAGTATTCAGTCATGAGATATTAAATGTCTGATTTATTCATTTCCAAGAGGGGCTCATTTCCAAAAGCCCCTTAAGTGCTAAGGAAGAAGTTGCTGCTTGGATTTGTACACACATAAGCCACCCCCTCACCCTGTTAAGAGATCAAGTAGATTATGTGTGTAATTATTTGAAGTGTCTAAGGGAATTGAATTAATCAGGCTTGTAAAGCATGCTAAATATTTAGGGACAAGCTGATTTGTCAAATTTATAATCTAATTGAGTACTAATCAAAGAATGTGAAGTGAGTTTTACATCCAAATTATAAGGTCAATCAATACAATGAGGTCTGGAAGCAAGTATAATGGCTTAAGGAAAATGAGATTTTTAGTTGGATCATTTTAATAAGTTAATTATAAATTAAAACACAAATGACACACAAGTCCCCTAACTTGGACATGGCTCCATCTCCAGATTGTGACCACGTGATGCCCCCCTCCCCAAGGGCAGGCCTGAGTTCTCACATCTCTCCCATCTGGAGCACAGCCCCTGCCACACAGCTGTGTTGATGTTTGTTGAAGGAATGAATAAGGGGCCCCCAACCCAGCCAGTGATCCCCTGCACACAGCACACAGAGGCAAACAGGGAAGCACATTGCCTTTATTGATAGTTCCAGCCCACAGGAGACCCCAGGCCAGAGGCCAAGCCCGAGGGTCTGGCCAGCCTCGCCTGGCAGACCAGGCTCTGATACAGAGGAGCTCAGAGTGGGCAGTAAATCTGCTCTGGTGCTCAGCATTTCCCAAGAGGGCAGCAGCCTGGGAAGAGGCAGAGCAGGGCCGTGGTGAGCCCTGTCTCCCTCCTCACTTCCTGGGGGACATGAGTCCTCTCCCTCCCCTGGCCTCTGAGGCCAGTCACCCAGCAGACACACACAGGTAGCCTGAGAGCTGGCTATATGTCCCCCCCAAGGGCTGGGGGTGTCCCCCAGTGCAGCCTGGAGGGGCCACAATGGTGGCATGGGATTCCTCCATAGCCATTTCCCATTAGGCCATTGCTGCCTCGCTTCACCTCAGGGCCCCCTAAGGCACACAGACAAGCCAGGGCACCCCAGTCACCAGAGGACTTCGCAGTCCTCCTACCCACCCCAGCTTTGCCCCAGGCCCTGGGAGACCCCCACTCACCTAAGGGCCCAGGGCCCAGCTCTGGCCTCAGCTGCCCATAGGGCCCTGGGGGGAGGGGCAGAGGTGAGAACACTGAGTCCCTCCTGTCCCCCTGCTACTCCCTCCACCAGGAGTGCCCTCCCTCCATCTCTGCAGGGCTATAAGGTGGGCTGTATGGCTAGGCCCAGGGCCCAGAGCCCAGTTCTCCACAGCCACCCGACCCCTGATGACACGTTCCCACACACCCCATTACCTGGCTGGCTCCTGACCTCTGGATATGCACCTCTGGTCCCATATCTAGGCCTCAAGTTGACCCCCCAGGGCTGGAGGGAGGGCCAGGGAGAGCCCCTCGGGGCCCCGGCCTGACTTGAAGGAGGAGAGCCGGCTTGGGACTCTGCCGACCGGAGCTGGACATTCAGGATGCCCCAGTCCTTCCAGGGTCTCAGAGTCCCTCACCCACTCAGCCTGGTCCCCACCACCCTTGCTAGGGTTCCCTCTGCTCCCCCAATGTTTCTTACCATTTCCTCCAGGGGCTGAAGCAGCCACATTGGGGTGCACAACTGCTGCCTCTCAATACCCTGCAAGAGACCCAGCTGACTCCTGCCCCGCCCCTGGACATCCCTTCCCCTGCACGGTGTCCCCTGGGTCCAACTCACCATTCCAAAAGCCATCAGTCCCAGGGAACCCTGGAGAAGGAAAGGGAAGGTCAGAGGCAGGAGCAGCCCCTGAGCCCAGAAACCCCCACCCCACCCTACCCAGCAGCCCCAGGCACCTGGCTGTGCGTGGGTCTCAGGGAAGACCCTGGCTCCCAGACCACCATTCCTGTAACCAAAACCTGTAGGACAGCGGTGGGAGAGGGGCTGGTTGGAATGGGGCGGGGGCAGCACTGGGGGGGCCAGGGTGACCTGCTCATGGACAGGGAGGGGCAGACAGACAGACTGACTCAGAGGCAGCCTAGAGAGGACCTCCCATAATCCCCCACCATCATCCAGCTAACCCAGTGGAGCCCACCTTCTGGAAGCTGTCCCTCCCTCCCTCTGGGCACTTCCCTTTCTGCCTGCTGAGTCTGTCACTCTGCCCTCACCTGAGACGGGGAATCCCCCTGGCTCTGGCCACCACTGTGGTCCAGTGCATAGTACATAATCGCTAGGTGGTTAAGGACAGGGACTGACAAACAGACAAGGAGCACTCACTGTGAGGGAGACATAGCTCATGCCCAAGATGGGGACCCGGGGGCTCACCGACTTTCTGGGGCTTGAGGCCACCACCAAAGCCTGGGGGAGAGGAAACAGGGGTCAGGGATAGCCGGTTTCACCTCCCTGCTTCCTATGCTGTTGAAGGGGAGAGGAGGGAGAACTCAGGCGAAGGGCCTCCTCACCCAGTTCTGCTCCTGGTCTGTAGCCATTCAGAGGCTGGTACCCTGTGAGGGGAATGGAGATGAGCAGGGAGGACCCAGACTTTCCCGAACTCCTTGGGGGCCCAGTATGGACCTTCCAGACTCTGAGGAGGAAGGGACTCTCCTCATCCACAGGGAATGGAACCAGAAGAAATGAGATAAGAAAGCAGCAAGAGATACCAAGGGTAGACTCAGAGAGTGACTTCCTGGCCTTAAGGTGCCTGAACACCTGAGATGACCCAGGGAACAAGGGAGATGGAGGAATGATCTGATCTGGCATGGGGTGGGGCAGGGAAGGCAGATGCACACCTGCTTCCTGAGGTTTCGGCCCCCACTGGATGGCTGGAGTAGGTACTAGAAGGAAAGCCAGGGGACAGGAGTGAGCCCAGGGTGGGGCAGGTGTGGAATGCTGCAGACTGCCATGGGGGAAGGGGCTGGGGGAGCTGTCATATCGGGGGTCATGTGGGGTCTCAGGGCCAGAGTTCAGGCTTTTCCTCACTGACTTGCTGGAGATAAGGCCTGGGGGATTCTGAGTGGCCCAGCCAGGCCCAGCCCCTCCTGGGACCAGGTACCCACCAGGGCCCCTCAGGTCCCTCATCCACACTGACCTGGGAACTTGCTGTTCTGCACTGGGGGAGGGGCCTGGGATTTCAGGCCCCAGCCACCTGCTTTATCAGAAGGGATCCCTGGAGTGGGAGGCCTGGCAAGAAGCCACAGAGGGACCCCACCACTGCAGGGACCTAGATGGGGAGGAAGGGAGGGGGCAGTGAGCCCAGGCCAGTGCCGCCCCCAGGCTGCCCTCCTGGCCTCCACATGGCCAAGCCACCCGCCTGTGGTGGCTTCTAGGGCAGACACACCTTCCAGGGGAGACAGTGGCCAGGCCAGAAAAAGCCCAGCTCCCACGGGCCACAATCTGCTCTGGGGACAAGGTGACTCAGCCACCTGATGTGGTTCCTGCTATTGCCCACCTTGCCCTCCACCTTCCAGCAATATCCCCCCACTTCCCTCTGTTCCTTGCCCCCTCACCTGGCTGGGCCCCCAGCCCATTGCCATTGCCGTATCCGGGAGAGGAAAAGCAGGGATGTGAGGGACAGTATTGGGCAGGGGGGTTCTGGAAGGACAGCAGGAGGCGGTGCGGGACAGGGATGGGGAGGGCTCTGGCTCACCTGGCTTCTGAGGTTTCAAACCCCCTCCCAGACCTGCAGGAGAGACAGAGGCTGTCTCAGACCCGATCAGCCCTTCCCCAGAAAGGAGCCCTCTGTCTCCCCTACTGAGGCCACCACTGAGCTCACCTGGAGGGAGCTGCAGCCCATTCCCTGGCATGTATCCTGGGAGGAAGTGTGGGCATGAGGGCAGGGCTGGGTGGGGGAGACTTCAGAAGGGGCAGAAGGGAGGCAGGGATGGACTCACCTGGCTTCGGAGGGCTCAAGCCCCCTCCCAGGCCTGGGGAGAGACAGACAGAGGCTGAGTGACAGGTGGACCCCACCCTGCCCCTTCTCTTCCTCTTTGCCCAGTGCGCCCTGTGCCCCCTCTTCCCCACCTCGCAGAACTGCAGGGCCCTGCCCCCCTCACCTGGCTGGGTCCCTTCACCTGGGAAGGCTCCAACTCCCAGCCCATTCCTATAAACTGGGGAGACAGAGTGGGGGTTATGAGGAAGAATAAAGTGGGGGGAGTAGACAGTTTCTGGGGGTAAGAGAAGTGGGGCGTCCAATTCTGACACCAAGTCCAATTCTGGGGTTTTTCCAACACCACCAAGCAATTCTCAGACACCATCTGGGTGTCCTACAATTTAACTCAAGTCCGACACTGTCTACCTGGAGACAGCATCAGATCCCACAGGTCAAAGGCTCAGACTTCTCCCCCCACCCCCACCCCACATTTCAGGCACCAATTTCCAGTCTAAGTTGTCACCTGTGCTTCTGACCAATTGGTTGTAGATCAGAGATTCCCACCACCCCCTCCTCCTTGGGTTTGATTAATTTGCTAGAGCGGCTCACAGAACTCAGGGAAACATTTTACTTACTAGATAATTGATTTATTATAAAAGGATATAACTCAGGAACAGCCAGTTAAAAGAGATGCAAGGGACAAGGCATGTGGGAAGGCACAAAGAGCCACCCTCCCAGCACTTCCAGGTGTTCACCAGCCCAGAAGCTCTCCAAATCCTGTTCTTTTGGGGTTTTATGGAGGCTTCATTACATAGGCATGATTGATTAAATCATTGACCAGTGGTGACTGACCTCCAGCCCCTCTCCCCTCCCTGGAGGTCATGGAGTGGGACTCAAAGTTCCAACCCTCCAATCACATGGTTGCTTCTCCTGGCAACCAGCCCCCACCCTCAGATGACTTAGGGGCTTTCCAAAAGTTACCTCATTAACATAACAAAAGACATATCCCTCTCCCTCCCTCCCTCCTTCTCTCTCTCTCTCTCTCTCTCTCTCTCTTCTCTCTCCAGGAAATTCCAACGCTTTCAGGAGCACAGTGCCAGGAATGTGAGGAAGATTAAACATACATATTTCTTATAAATCACAATATCACAGGGTGGTAAGAGAGAAAGGGAGGGTTTACCTGGCTTCTGAGGCTTCATGGCCTCAGCAATGCCTGGAGAAGAAAGAGATGGGAGCAGGTAAGGGACCCATGACCCCCCTCTGAGCCTCTCCTCCAGAACCCTGGCATCTGCCCCCAGCACCCACTCCTGTACCTGGTCCGTAGCCGATGGGAACCGCAGACCCTGTGGGGATGGGCAGGAGGTAGGGGTGTGTGGAGAGGTTGAGGAACACAGGAGGCCAGAAACTGGGCTTCCCTTTCCTCCCAGTTTAGGGACCAGAAAACTTGGAGCCTCCTCTGCTGCATTCCATTACCAACTCTGCCCTCTCCAAGGAGCCCAGGAGAGGACCCTCAGAAGAGAGTCTGGGTGGGGACCACCTCGCCCCCTCCTCTCTTCTCCTCGCCCAGCCTCCAGCTTCTCCCAACCCCTCAGTTCTGAGCTGGGGGGCCTGTGAGGGATGGAGGGATGAGCAGGGGGTTGGGGACCCTGGCTAAGTTAGAGGCAAGGATTTGTGATCCCCCATACAGAGCCAAGCCAGAACCCTGGAGGCTCTCCCTGACCCCCTCTTAATCCTTCACCAGTCCTGCCTCTTGAAGGCCTGGGAGATGGGAGAGTGCCTAGATGTGGACCACACCCCAGAGCCCACCAGTCTCACCTGGCTGGGCTCCCAGCCCGTAGCTATTCCCAAATCCTGGGGGGACAGATGGAGACAGGTGTGTGAATAGGGGGAGGGGAGATTAGGGTTTGGGGGGAGGTGGAGAGACATGCCCGGATAAGGCTCACTTGGCTTCTGGGGTCTCACACTGGCTCCGAAGCCTGGTGGGGAGACAGGGGGCAGGTTAGGGCTCCTGGCCCCATCCCTGGACCTCCCTAGCATCTCCAAGCAGGCCCACCCCTACCTGCTACATAGCCATTTTGAGCTGCAGGGCCTGGGGGCAAGAGACAGGGGCTCTGGGTACAGCCTCTCTGAGGCCCCTGCACAAAGAAAGGTCCTTTAGCTCTCCCCCACCACCCCACCCCCAGCCGGGCCGTCGGCCTCCTCCTGGAGTCCAGCCTCCCTGTGGAGCCTGAACGCCATCCCAGCTGCCTGGGTCCCATCTGGTTGGTGTCACCACCACCACCCACACCAACCAGCTAGGAAGGTGGACACCTTGACGTCCCCTCACCAACCACATGCTCTGCTCTGGGCATGAGCTCCCGCCTCCTTGGCCCCCAGCCATTTCCAGAGCCTGTACCCTCTCTGGTCCTCTGTCTCTCAGATGATGCAGCTCAAGATTTTCAGTGGGGCACGGCCAGTGGGCCCCCGCCTCTGCCTCCACCTCCCCAGAATGTGCCCCCGTTACATTCACACTTCTTTCCTGCCTGCCTCCTCCTGCTGCCCAGGCTCGGGAAGGCCTGCCACCCCACCTGGCTGGGCTGCCCTGGGGATGTTTGTTGAAGGAGTATTTGTTGTGTGACGCCAGATGGGAGGGCGGGTCTCACCTGGCTTCTGAGATTTCAGTCCTCCGAGGCCTGGGGAAGAGAAGGAGACTGTCCAGTGAGTCCACCCGGATCCCCGTCCCCTCAGAGCTAGGGACAGCACCTCCACCCCTGCATCAGCCACCCCCTCGGTGAGCCCTGCACCCCTAGAGCTCTGGGGTCGCACCCGGCTGGGCTCCATTCCCGGTCCCAAACCCTGGGGAGACAGAGCAAGAGGCCTGAGGAGAGATCAGGGACTCAGGCGAGATCAGTAGTCTCAGGACTCCTGAGAGATCAGGAGCACAGATGCAGAGATGACAGACAGAGCCCAACAGAGCAGAGCATGGCTCACCTAGCTTCTGGGGTTTTCCTTTCCAGAAACCCCCACCTTTGGGTCTCCACCCCCCCCCCAACTCAGCCCCGGTCCCCTCTCTACCTGGTCCAAAGCCATTTAGAGCTGCGAGACCTAAGGGGGGGTGGGTGTGACACAGGAAATCTGGATGGCACTGAAGTGAGAGTGAGCCCCAGCCTCCCCGCCTACCTGGACCCCTGCCCTCCTCTTCCACATCCCTCCATTCAACCTAGCTAGGTTCACAAGAGGGGTGGGGAGCTCACTGGGGGGACCTGTGATAGGAAAAGGGCTGGGGAGACTGAGGCGGTTGAGAGATGGGATCCCAGATCCAGCCTTCCTCCATCCCTCTGGCCCAGGAGATTCCTGGGGTTTTAACACCCTTGCTCCTCCCTGCTCCCACTCTGGATGCCAGGACCCCAGCCCACCCCCCCCGCCCAGAAACGCCAGCAGACTCCTCCCCAAGTTCTCCAACCCCTGCCTACTCCAGGTAGACAAGGTCTTTTGCTCCCTGCTTAAAACCACAAAGGTGTGTCCCACTGCCAGGTCCAAGTCCCCCAAGGCCTCCAGCCTCGGGCTGTGTCCTCTGGCTTTCCACCTCTGGTGGATTGCCCCCCAGTCCTGACCACAGCCTGCAACAGCACCTGGGGGTCCCGGCTTGGGCACTGGGCCCAGCGGGTCTGCAGCCAGGTCAGGGTTGACCGACTCGGTCTGCAGTGTGCAGCCAAGGTCGGGCTCAGGCAGGCACTTGGGAAAGTTGGTGGAATGAGTGAGCCTCTAAGAGGCCCCCTGTTAGGAGCCCAGAGTGGTGGCCAGCAGTGACCTCTCCCTCCCCCAGCAGCCTGGGCCCTAGCCACCCTCACCTGGCTGGGCCCCCAGGCCATGGCCCATGCCCTGTCCTGGAGAGGAAAAGCCATATGTGAGCAGTGGACTGGGGGAGGACTTGGGATGGGGACAAGGACAGGGATGGACAGGGACAGAATTAAGATGGTGGGACGGAAGGGCAGGGTCTCTGTCTCACCTGGTTTCTGAGGTTTCATGCCCCCTCCTAAGCCTGGGGAAAGAAGAACTGAGCCACATGCAATGTGGACCCCTCCCAGCCCTTATTCTCCCCCAGGAAATCAAGTTTCTGCCCTCCCCCTCCCTCCTTCCTAGGACCCCAGGTGCCCTCACTTGGCTGGGCTCCGACTCCTGGGAAGGCCCCATCTCCTAGCCCATTCCTG